GTGTTTTTATATTTAGATCATGTATGGGTGTGTGTGTTCGTATGTGTGCGTGAGTGTGTGTGTGTATGTGTGTGAGTGTGTGTGTATGCGTGTGTGTTTGTGTGTGCGTATGTGTGTGAGTGTGTGTGTTTGTGTGTGTGTGTGTGTGTGTGTGTGTGTGTGTGTGTGTGTGTGTGCCGGCAAAACGAACATAATATTCTCAAGTTTCTTACTTACTTTCTTTCTCAAAATCAAGCACAAAAACAAATTGACATTACTCTCCAAAAAAAAAAGTAAATGCTTCCCCCGACCCACGCCTCCTCATTTTTTCCACCACCCCTGTCTTTTAGTAATGTTAAGGGCCACCCCCATTGTGTTTCATCTGGGAAATAGAGATTGAGATTCAGCTTGATCATGGCAACAGTCGACCTCTCGCCGAAGTCAGACGACTCCTGAATCATAGAACCCGTGATTCCGTCTATACATCATGAGTTCGAGACGAACGTTTATCGATAAAATAAGAGAACGGAAAACTTGGGACTAACTGGAAATTGACTAGAGGGTTCTCGAGAAGCCAATGCTGGCCGACGAATTATTAAGGGGTCCAGAGGGACACATATGAAAAATGGGTTTTAGATGGACTTTAGAAGTACTTCTATTTTCGTCAGTTTTTGTAGAAGAAGCAAAAGAAGGAACGAAGTACGACCAAAAAATACTGACATCAATATTCGAGCATTGCAGTATTTATGAGAACATTAAAAAGTCCATATAAAAAGCTAGAAGTGATTGGAGTTTACTCAACGAGCTGGATGTGGGTTGAAGTTCATAGTCTCATTTTTTTCTCTTTTTTTTTTTGGTAAGAAAACGAAAGAGTGAAATGACTCAAAATATAATATAAAGTTTTCCAAATTTTTAAATTTTATATTTTGAAATCCGAGGGAAAACGTTCTATTTACTGACACATGGGAAGATTTTCAATTAGAAACATTACGTGCCAATGGTTTTTGGAGTAGATCTTGAAATGAAATTTTTCACTGCTGAAAGTCAAAACAAATTATTGGTTTAAATTGGTTCATTCTCTCAATCCTTATAAATACATGTCTTTTATTAGTAAGAGTTGTTCTCGTGTCCCTCGTCTCAATTCTCACACCCCCCCCCCCCCCGTCGTGGATACCAAAGCCACTAGCTGGAGAACAAAAAAAACAACAACCCAATAATAAAAAAACAACAACAACAGTAACCGTTATGACAACAGCAACAACAAGAAATTTCGCAATTGTACTCATGTTCCATCAAAATTATTTTTATTTCCATCCATACACCAAATAAAATTTCCCCTTGCATATTTTCGTTACTACATTTTTCTTTTGCTTTTGCTTTTTCAGATTTGTCCGAGGCGAAAGACCAAAACTCCACCGAATTGTCAAGTTCAAATACCAAACAAGTAAAGGAGACCGGGCATGAATTTTCTCTGTGTTTTAGTAATCTTCTGGAATTCGTCGCAGATCTCTCTACATTTTCTTTGCACTTCATCCCCCAAATCCCAACTCCTCATTCTTGTTCCTATGACCCTGGAGTCAGTGTAGTTCTTCTAATTATATAGATAACTTTTTATCTCTCTTTTAGTTTTAGTTCAACCTGGTTTTTGCGTGTTCCGAGGGGTAGGTATTTTGACCCTATCACTACTTACACTCTACCGCTTTCTTCACTCATCTTCCTCTTCCCCCTAGACCCCCACAGCCCTTCCAGATACACATAGGAAGACAAGCACATTAACACATTCACATACCCACATACACACTAACGCACATATTAATACTTGTTGGAATGTAACACATCAGCCAAGCAAAAGACCTTTTGTATCTTTCAACTTCAATTATGTATTTTGAGTAAAAAGAACATTACAGTAACAATGACACTTCTAACGCTGCACGTAATCTTTTCTTCTTCTCAAGTCTTCTTAGCCTTAGACTGATTTCTTCTCCTCTTTTATAATATGTAGGGAATAAGTCAAAATTAATCATTTCTTTCTTACCAGCGAATCGTTTTCCATGAGGGCGAATGCGAATCCCAACAAGTGCTTGCGACTCACTACAGTCTTGTGGATAGACGCTGATACCCTCAGATTGGGAGTCAAGGACTATCACTGAAGCTAAGTGAGACGCACTCTCTGGGGAGAAGTCTGGAGCATTTTTCAGATTCTGTAACTTGGCACAGACCTCGTCTCTAAGACGAGTGGAAGTGAGGTCATTACTGCCAGAATTGTGCCCCGGAAGTAGAAAGAGGATCACAGCCGCTGGGAGCATCCGCAACCTCATGTTGTAAGCTGCAGAAGAAAAAGTCATATGTTGATGAACATTGCCAGATAATTTCACAGCGGCAGATCACTCTGTGTAAGTCTAATATATTTTCTAAGCAATAAACTTCATTTACAAATGGAGACAGTGCAAGTTCTTATTCAAATTACACACAGGATCATCAACGCACACACAATCACTCACAAACACACACATATACATACACACGTATACACCCACATTCATACATATTAACACAAACACATTCATGCAGTTCAAAGGGGAAGATAGCGAGAGAGACAAAGAGAAAGAGCGAGAGCGAGCGAGAGAGAGAGAGAGAGAGAGAGAGAGAGAGAGAGAGAGAGAGAGAGAGAGAGAGAGGGGGGGGGGAAGGGATGTATAGAGAGAAAGAAAGGGTGAAATGGTACAACATTTTTGGGTTATTTAAGAGGCGGGACCTCCGAGTTTAACGTCTATCTCCGAAAGGACCAAGCCAAATGGGAAATGTGTGTAAAGTGTCTTTCCCAAGGACACAACGTCGGGCTGAGCTGAGGATCAAACCCCCAAACCCACAATATCACGAATACGGGTCTGATAGTCTTAAGGCGAGGCTACCTACGCCACTCAGAGAGATACAGAGAGATACAGAGCGAGAGAGAGAGAGAGAGAGAGAGAGAGAGAGAGAGAGAGAGAGAGAGAGAGAGAGAGAGAGAGAGAGAGAGAGAGAGAGAGAGGGCGGTGTGTGAAAGAAATGCAAGGAGGGGGAACGGATATGACGGTGCATAGATTTACAAGTACTTAATTGTCATTGTGCGTGTTAAAGAAGATTAAGGTCAAAAGTCTGGCCACAAACCAGGGTCACGGGGGATTTCTCTTGTCACTCTCTCTCTCTCTATCGTTCTCTTTCTCTCTCTCTCTCACACCCTCTCTCTGTCGCTGTCTATCTGCCCCCTCTCTCTCTATCGTTCTCTTTCTCTGTCTCTTTCTCTCTGTCGCTCTCTATCTGCCCCCCTCTCTCTCTATCGTTCTCTCTCTCTATCTCTCTCTCTCTCTCTCTCTCTCTCTCTCTCTCTCTCTCCCTCACTCTATCTCTCTTGTTCTCTCTGCACCAACTTCTCACACTCAAAAACCTCTACAACCTCTTTAATTAACTTCTTCAGTCTCTTTCCTGCTGTATCTAGGAGGCTTTAAATGGATTTTTGTCTGGGTACAAAGGCCGGCTTTTTTTTCTCATTTCGATCGAGTTTTGACTCTCGTGTGTGTTTTTCTATTTCCATGCCCAAGCTAGAGTCCAGGGCCGTTTTGTGCAACCAAACCATATTAAAAATATCTACGAGTTTCTCCTTAAAGTTAAAGTAAAGAGATTATAAAAGGAATTTTCCCCCGGATCTCAGCCAACCAAGCCTGAGAAAATGGTTTGGTGGAAAACTTTGAATACTCAAAAAAAATATTTAGGGGGGGCCAATTAACCTAAAATGCTGCTTATAGGCACTTGTACGGTGTCTCTATTGATCTGGGGAACATCAAATAATACCAAGAGGCTTTGCAAGAAAATGCCCTTGGATGGGGTTTTGTTGTTATTCATATAAATCGAAAACGTTTATATTTTGTATTCTTTGACTCTTTGATCTTCGAGCCTTCATTCATCCCATAATTCAGTCACCATGTCTTTTTTTCTTCTCTCTTGTATAGGGTGAGGCAGAGGTTTATCTAAAACTACATTGTGCGTTCACTCAGCTTAAGTTAATAATAGTATCACTGCAAAGCGTATTAAAAACAACATCAAAACGTTGTTACTGTTCCAGACAAAATGAAAACGACGTCGAAAAGGAAACTCTTTTGTGAATGAAGCAAACGGTCTGCGGAAATAACAATGCCTGGAAGGACAAGAGAAATGGAAGTTTTTTTCAAACTTGAGATATCCTTTTTAGCCAAACTCAAAAATAATGCTTCTTTGTTACCGCACTAACACATTTAAAGGAAGAAGAAGCGACAAAGACACGATTCTGAACTGCATATCTTGAAAAAGCCAAGTGCACTTTAGAAGCTCATATTTGTACGACACGAACTTATCCACATGTCGGACAGGGTGCTCCAGTGCATCAAGCAGTGGTATATTTTTCAAGAGTGATCGAGTGCCCAGAAAATAAAATATTGCAACCTTCTCTATTAAAACAAGGTTTTTTTCAACGTTTTGATATCAAAATGAGAAAATAGAAAATCTGTTTAAGATAGACAAATATGCTCCAACTTGTGGGAACAAAAGCGTCATGTACACCTAAGAGCTTGAATTAAAATACTCCACACTGGATTATATTAATTATATATATATATATATATATATATATATATATATATATATATATATATATATATATATATATATATATATATATATATATATATATATCTATCTATATATATATATGTAATATGTATGTGTATAGGTATAAAAGGGAAGGGCAGTGGGCGTGGACTTCTGGACGACCAATGTAAGAGCGCATCATACTAGATGTACTTACGGTGTCAATACAATTGGTACCATAGAAAAGGAAACAAATTATTTCGTTTATTCCAGCCTCGCCCTATCCCCACAACCCCCCCCCCTCTCTCTCTCTCTCTCTCTTTCTCTCTCTCTCTCTCTCTCTCTCTCTCTCTCTCTATCTCTATCTCTCCATTTCTCTCCCCCCCCCCTCTCTCTCTCTCTCTCTTTATGTCTCGCAGGGTTTCACTTGCTTTCAATCTCAATCTGTCTGACTCTCTTTTTTCAATTTGATCATTTAAGCCCTCTGGCAAGAGTTTGAAATCCTGAACTCACTGGTCTGTAAATATTCTCGAGAAAGAATGGTTGGAAAATACACACACAGCGAGAGTAATTGGGTATGCGATATAGAAAGGGGAGAGAGGGAGAGAGAGAGAGAGAGAGAGAGAGAGAGAGAGAGAGAGAGAGCGAGAGAGAGAGAGAGCAAGAGAGCAAGAGCGTGTGAGAGAGAGGGGGAAGGGGAAGGAAAAGAACAACAACAAGAACAAAAACAAGAACTAGGATATCAGCAACAACAGCAACAACAGCAACAACATCAGCTTCATAACAATAGCTATATTTACGACCACTACAAGATTTTTTTGTTATAAAAAAAATAAAACAGTAGATCAGGAAGAAGATGAAGGAGAATAAATAAAAACAAAATTGAAAATGGGCAGTATTATCTGATATTAAAAGAGAAGGAAATGTCAGGTGCATCGCAAGTGGTTATTTATTTTTTTTAGCCTTTCTCCGTTGCGGACCACAATTTCTTCTTTGTGCAGAATACGTCACGTCCTACTCCCGAGGTGTCGGGTTTTTGAATGACGTCAAACTGGCTCAGCTTACAATGGCCAAGAAGAACCTAATCCCAGTCGCAGTATAAAAAAAAACAACAACAAAAAAAACGAGTAAATTGTCCAAGTTTCGTTAGATATCATATTATAAGGATTCGAAGCAGGAAACCGTATTTTTAAGGAATATGTTTTAAGTGAATGTTTCTATTTTAAACATTCAGGAAAAGAAAATCAAATTATCTTCCTCCACTTGTTGTATCAAACAGTGGGATAAAAAAAATGATACGAACTGACTCGATAGAATGGAAATGTCACAAAAGTTAGGTGGAATAATCTATATATATTATATATATATATATATATATATATATATATATATATATATATATATATATATATATATATACAACACAAAGAAAAAGGACGCTGTGGTTGTGTCACTAAATAGGTCTTGGTTCAGGAAGAAACATAGGAAAAATGAATTGAAATATATGCGAGCGCCACAGGGATTAGGAAGTTATTTAGGAGCATCAAAAGTCCACTTACTGTATGACCGCTGTAGTCCAATGAATATAAAGTTATTTGCGCTCTCAGATCTTGTGCAGAAATCTCATAATCAGTCCTGAGGTTTTGGTAGCGGAAATAATATTTTTTAAAGTTTTTTTTTTTTTCAAATGAAAAAAAAAGGAATAACTATATTTCTTGCGAAAATATTGTGGAGACACTTAAATCGCCCTTAGAATTTGACGTTGATTAAAATGACTTTTTTAAAGAAACGCACACAACAAGAGATCCAACAAAGGATGAAGACTGAATATTCTCATCTGACAGGCAAAAGCGCCCTGTACTCTGGGCCCAACCGCTCCGATGATGTGCCCAAGATCGATATGAAGTGCGAGAGGAGAAAGGGAAGGGGAGGCTGATAGACGGTTTTGGGGGGAAACGCGGACAAGGCTTGTGTTGGGAAGGCAGAATAGGGAAAGAGGATCGCTTGTTTGCTCCGACCAGTGTTGGAGGAACCGTCAAATGCACTCAGCCTGGCCAGACACCGGCGGACAAAGGATGAGTGTGAAATTTAGGACAGGGAAATACGACCCTACTGCCTTCCTACTCATTTAACCCTTGCTGTTCCGTTATTACGTAGTGAGTTCTGGGTTGGAGTTTGCATATATCATCCTCTTTCAAAGCAGCCATAATAGGAGAGACCTCCAAATGTACGTCAATTTCCATTTGAGCAGGATAGAAAGTCATAACGTCATTCAAGCAACTTTAGTTCAGAAACCCCGTTGGCCAATGTCCGTTTTTGGGCTGGTTACTGAGATAATCACCAGCCTTATAAGTTAGTGGAAATAAGAAAAGTCTTATGTATGTACAAATAGATCAAGCAATTGTTTTAGAATAATTAACAATAAATCTATCCTTTTAGTTTAACACTTCATAATATGCTTTCTTCCTATAATCAACTTCAAATAATTCTCATGTGTGTCTTTCAGCGCGTCAAAATATTATTTCAACACAAAGTTCCTTACATAATTATTCTTCACTGTTTCTCGTTTTACCTAACGCAGGACGTAAATAGTTTTTTTTTTCAAATGTGGTACTACTGACGCTCGACGCAAAGTAAGAAGGAAGAAAAGAGGCTAGTACCATGCATTAACGTTAATACATGTATCAAACAGAGAGTGCTCGGTATCCCAGAAATTGAGGGGCTTCGATATCCCTTGTAAACATAACCTGAACCCTTTTTAGAACTCTATAACAAAATCATGTCCTCAACATTATTTATCAAGTCATCACAACAAAAACATCCCAGTCCTGCAACTCCCAGACTTGAACTAAACTAAAGGCGAGGAAATAAGAGGGAAGAGTTAAAATTCAATAAAAAATGTATATAGCAATATATTAAACAAATACCAGATACCCATGCCTGCCGCAGTGGGGTTTTCATATTCAATACACAAGATCAAATATGAAAGCGTTAAGGGAGTAATCTTAATCCTGTTGTTCAACGAGGTTTTCTTTTTTATACGCCGAATCCTCGCCCAGTGGGATACCTCAGCCGGTGGAAAATCCTCAACCTGATGTCCCTTTCCCTTTAAAAAAAGTTATTCTGATGATATTTGTAGAGGAATTAAACCCATATTACGCTGGTAAAGTCGATTGAAACTCTCCACAGAGAAGGTTTTAAAAATGAATGAGGCGACACTGAGTCTTCTTTTACTGGTCCTTTTCCTGATTCTTGGAGTGGATGTCTACAAATGATTCAACTGTTGATCTTAAACAAATGTTTTCAACCTTCCTTATAAGTATCAACAGCATCCAAGCGTGTTAAGCTATTCAAAGGTTCATTCAGTGAGAATTCTGTTGCCACCAAAACCTTTACTTCCTTCACAATATTCGGGGAAGAAACAAAAGCATACAACAAAAAGTATCTGTCTATATCAAACGTAAAAATATATACACATTTCGAGTTAGAAACAGCTTTCATCGTTATTTAAAGAGAAGAGCACTTTTAGAAAACAGTTACCCTTAGCTCAGAAGAACGCATTTTAAAAATCTTGCCCTGTATATGGCGAAAACCAGAAAAGAAGAAGGCGCCCATAGAACTTATCTCTACTCAGAAATATGATCAATAAGTGAGCTAATGTTTAAACACTCTATCTTTGGATTTACTCCCCCTCCCCCTTTTGTTTCCCCAATCATCCTGTTCATACACTGTCAGTGACAAACAAGTCTTCATTGAAAATAGGAAGTCAAATGTATAATCTGGTGATAAAGTATCCCGACAATACACGTACGTTCAGATGCTTGGGGG